TGTTGCCATGATGCCAGGTCTCTCTTGGAAATGAGATTTTAATCTCAATGAGATTTTTTACCTGGATAAATAAAGAACTAATAAATATGCAGTGCAAAATTATGTTTATGTTTCTCAAAGTCTCTAAAATGTGTATCAACAATTAAAAGCCAGTCAGTAATTAAAATTTTACAAAGAAATGTTTATCTGGAGAAGTCTGTGCTTGTTTTCTTTTATACACTATTTCTATGTTTATATGATATGTACAATCCTTTGATGCATTTTTAATTTTTAGAAGTTTCCATACTGTGCTGGTCGCTTTCTCAGCTTTTATAATAAAAAAAAGAATAAAAAAAAAAAAACAACAACAAATAGCTGAGACATTTTACTTTTGCATAGAAAAATATGATCTCTTTTAAAATTTGAGCCAGCTACAAGTCTCAAAAAGTTAAGTTGTACCAGGAGGCAACATTAGCTTTCATTTTGAGGTTAACTGACAACAGGTCAGTAACACGAATATGCATAAATAGAAGATCTTAGAGAGGCTGTGAGGATGGACAGAGAATCACCAGTCTGCAAAAACCTACATTTACAACATTACTGTTCCTCAACATAAAAATTGCAAAGAGATGGACACTTTTTACAGACTAAAGATGAGATGAAACATCTGACTTGCCTTTAGTGGCTGCATCTCTGACCCATTATACATAGAACTGGAAGTTTATAGATCGGAAAAGGCACCACAGGTGCTGAAAGATATTTACAGTGTGTTGTCTAAAGAAGAGGGAATGCTACACAGCAGTAAACATGGCTCTGTCCCAACTTTTCTCCTAATCATTGGTTCACTTATTCACACACTGGGAGGTTAAACCAATGAAAAAGCTAAAAAATAAAAATAAAAAAAAGAAGAAGAAAAAAAAAATACCCCATAGCAACAACCCAGTCCTTGTGATAAGATCTGTCAATTCACAATGAAAATGCTGCTACTTTAAACCAAAACAGAGGTCACATGGTCACAAGGATTTTGTTTCCTTTTTTAGTCAGTGATGTCTTGTAAAACTTCATTTGTGTAATTTGTTTAGCAAAATGTCCAGGGTTAACTTTGGGAAGGCACTGTCTCTTTCTCTCTCACACACTCATGTGAACAGAAACAACACATTTCCCAGTATGTGTAGGATCCCACAACCTACTCTGTCTTTCACGTAAGAGGATGTTCAGGTAGTTAAATGGGTACACGGTGACCCCATTTTATCACCTCATGGGCCATTATATATATATATATGAAATATAAGACTTTCACTTCTTTGTTGAGCAGACATTTCCTGGAACTAATCCCCTCAGCAGTGGATGTTTGTTATATTTGCTTAGATTTGTTTAGAGCAGGACTTTGTTTGGCACGTCTTTTCCTCTCTGGCGTGGAGTTCAGGAAAGAGACTATCTGCAGCATTTTCACTCCACCTCCTAGCCACCCCAGCCAGTCTTCTTACACTGGGGTCAAATTTAGTAGCAGTGCCCCCACCCCCTCCGTCACCCTTGAAGTGGTTCTACAATCCTGTGTGGGTGTAATTATGATGTCCTCCTCTTAGGGGTGTGGTGGAGTACAGAAATACAGCAGCTTATTTTCGCAACCACTTTTTCTCCGCCCTCATATCGCCTATCTTCCTTGAGATGTGGGTTTTCCTGGGTGAGCGTTGCCTTTCCAGGATTCCAAGACTAATGATGAAAATCCTCCTTAATAACAAGGCACGGAGGACCACCCATTTGACATGTTACTTTGCCTTTTCTTTAGTTAAAGTTTAAGAAGAGGGCCACAGAAATAGATCCCAGACAGCTGGAATCATAACCACATCATCTCACAAAATCATTAAACCAGAATGAAAACATAGCTCAATAAAGTATAGCTGTAATGACACCAGGCAGGTTTAAATACAATGAGGTGACACAGAATCTAATTGTAGTATCAGATACATACATTAGTCAAATTATGATAGGCCAAATGTTTAGTCATTCAATTTTATTGTATGCTTAGTCATGGCTATCCAGTTGATTTAATCTCATACTGTCTTTAATAAGGTTTTTATGTGACATGACCCTCCATACATGACGAATATAAAATAGTGTGTACATAAATTGTTGAGACTTAAAAATGATTTCAGTAGGTGATTGTGCTGTAAAAATGTGTCTCTGCAAGAACAACAGTAAAGGAAGTGCTCATCAAAATAGTTGTGCTGGAGGGAAAAAGCAGCCACTGGATGGTGTGTGTGTGTGTGT